GGCAAAAGAGAGCACATTACACCAGTTTTGGCCTCACTGCACTGGTTACCAGTTCACTTTCGAATCCAGTTCAAAATACTCATGTATGTCTACAAATCACTGAACAGTGTCCCCCCCCCCCCATCTCTCTGATTTGCTACAACCGTATGTCCCACCACGTTCCCTGAGGTCAGCGGACCAGTTGCTCCTCACAGTTCCAGGAACTCGTCTTAAGTGCAGAGGTGACAGGGCCTTCTCTGTAGCAGGACCAAGACTTTGGAACGAGTTACCTCTGCTTGTCAGACAGGCCCCTTCCCTCTCAGTTTTCAAGTCCTGTTTAAAAACTCTCTACTATTCAGTAGCTTTCAACACCAGATGATCTGTGTTTGATCCTGTATGCTCCACAGTGGTTTGTCATCATTATCTGCATCGTTTTTATGTCTATATTCTGATTTACCTCATTTTGTATTTTGCTTCGTGTGTTACCTGTTGTTCTGTCTGTACAGCACTTTGGTTGGTCTTGTAGCTGTTTTAAGTGCTTTATAAATAAAGTGGTATGGTATTGAGTCACGAGAACTAATTTTCAAGAGCGACCTGTTTTTGGGAGCAGATGGTGGGGGTTCAGGGCCTTGCTCGGGGGCCCAGAGTGGGGCGAATGAGGGTGGAGGCAGGGGTGGGTGTTTCACCTTTTCCACCCAAATTTTGATGTTGCTGATGCAGGGAGTTGAACCGGCGACCTTCAGATCACAGGCCCACCTTCCCTAATCTCTGCACCACCACTCCTTATTAATGCTTTCAAAGTATTATCACAGTTTGTGTTGTTTGTTCCATTAATTTTACTCCTGTTGATGTTACTGTTGCAGCCTTTGGTAACCGCTTGTTTTAAATGTGCTCTATAAATGAAGTTGACTTGACTCTGAGGCCTGTGCAGTCTGAGATGGAGCTTATTATTAATGTTTTTTTACATTTCTCTGAGCTTTACAGTCTGTGCACCACTTGCTCTGGAGCAGATACAGTGAGGCAAAGAAGTATTTAGTCAGCCACTGATTGTGCAAGTTCTCCTACTTAGAAAGATGAGAAAGGTGTATTTTTCATCACAGGTTCACTTCAACTATGAGACAACATGAGGAAAAATAATCCAAGAAATCACTTTGTAGGATTTTAAAAGAAGTTATTTGTAAATTATGGTAGAAAATAAGTATTTGGTCAATAACAAGCAAGATTTTCTGTGTCTCTCAGACCTGTAACTTCTTCTTTAAGAAGCTCTTCTGTCCTCCACTTGTTACCTGTATTAATGTTTGACCTCGTTATCTGTATAAGACACCTGTCCACAGCCTCAAACACTCAACTCAACCATGGCCAAGACCCAAGAGCTGCTGAAGGACACCAGGAAGAAAACTGTAGACCTGCACCAGGCTGGAGGAGGGAATCTACAATAGGCAGCAGGTTGGTGTGAATAAATCAACTGTGGGAGCAACTGGGAGAAAATGGAAGACAAACAAGACCATTGATCATCTCCCTCGATCTGGAGCCCCACGCAACATCTCATCCCATGGGGTCAAAATGATCATGAGAACGGTGTGAAAAATCCCAGAACTACACGGGGGGACCTGATGAATGACCTGCAGAGAGCTGGGGCCAAAGTAACAAAGGCTACACTCTACGCCGAGAGGGACTCAAGTCCTGCAGTGCCAGGCGTGTCCCCCTGCTGAAGCCAGTACATGTCCAGGCCCGTCTGAAGTTTGCCAGGGAGCATGTGGATGATCCAGAAGAGGATAGGGAGAACATCATGTGGTCAGATGAAAGCAAAATAGAACTTTTTGGTAAAAACTCAACTTGTATTTGGAGGAAGAAGAATGCCGAGTTTCATCCCAAGAACACTATACCTGCTGTTACGACGGGAGCTGGCTGCGGGTCACCGGTTACCCAGAGGCCCCCTCTCAGACACCGGACCCACCTCCAGCCCACATCGCTTCCCCCGGCTCGAATCTCCCTCAGAAGCGGCAACTCTAACAAAAAATAAATCAAGGAAACATGAATTCAGTTTTACCAATTGTATTAAAATCAAGGCAGGAAAAGGTTAGAGTTTACAGCGCTGGCCTCTAGTTTGTGACGCGATCACAAACCCGGAAGAGCCCTGATGTCCCGTCATTCTCATTTATAGTGTCCTGGACTCCTCCTTTGCAGAAGGGGAGCTCAACCTGTCAGTGAATGAGGGGGCGGGGCTAAGTGTGATCTAAATGGATCTTATGTGGTTCCGACGTGTACGGAAATATGAGACTTTCTACGTGATGTGGCAAGCAGAAATAAACTTTATTCCTTGACCGATATTAAATCCCAGGGAGACTCTCTTTAGAGTTGCTGGCCCAGTTTAACCCAGTCAGAACCGGGTCATAATTTCATTATAACCCCGTCTCTGACCAGATCAAAAACCCCAGGACCAGTCTAGATCAATATCTTAACACTACTGTGAAGCATGGGGGTGGAAACATCATGCTTTGGGTCTGTTTATGTGCAAAGGGGACAGGACGACTGATCCGTGTTAAAGGAAGAATGAACGGGGCCGTGCATCGTGACATTTTAAGCCCAAACCTCCTTCCATCAGTGACAGCACTGAAGATGGAACAGGGATGGGTCTTCCAGCACGACGATGATCCCAAACACACGGCTCGGGCAACGAAGGAGCGGCTCGGTAAAAAGCATTTCAAGGTCCTGGAGTGGCCTGGCCAGTCTCCAGGACCTCAACCCCATAGAAAATTTGTGGAGGAGTTGAAAGTCTGTGTTGTCCAGTGAAACCATCACTGGTCTGGAGGAGATCTGCACGGAGGAATGGGCCAAAACACCAGAAACAGCGTGCAGACCTGGAGGAGACTTACAGGAAACGTTTGAGTGCGTCACTGCCAACAAAGTGATGTTACAAAGTATTGATTTGAACTTTGTTATTGACCAAATACACATTTTCCACCATAATGTCTCGTAGTTGAAGTGAACCTGTGATGAAAATTACACCTCTCATATTTCCAAGTAGGAGAACTTGCACAATCGGTGGCTGACTAAATACTTTTTGCCTCACTGTAACTGGCAAAACACTGACGATGATCAGTTAATCAATACATGTGATCAGAGGCTGGAACTGGCTCTTGAATCCTAAGGAAGCAGCACCAGTTGGTTTGGTTAAATAAAACAAGGACGTGGTGGGATCGTTCATTTGAGCCCGGTAACGACCGATCACTGAAGTTGGTTCAGATGCGTCTGAAGCTTCAGTTTCCTGCTCACATTTGATCACACTTCTGTGGCATGAACTGAAACTGCAGACGTTCTGCGACGCCGCTCAGTAAACGTTCTTAAAGCTCATCACGTTTAACAGCGTCCGTTTTTCACTTCATCAGAGTCTTCATCACCTCCGGCCGTTTGAACTTGTTGGAGCGGATGATTCACAGGAGGCGGCGAGGACTCGTCAACTCTGAACGCTCTTCAGTTCTCCACTCAGGCGGACAGTCACACATGACGGCAGATTTTAATTCTTCTAAAAGGGGATAAAACAAAAGATGAATATTTGAACAGAAGGGGCCGAAGGTCAAAGGGCGCCGAGTCTCAGAACAAAGGTTCTTGACTGATGTGAAAACTGGGAACAGAACTGTTTTACAACGTCAAGCAAAGAAATCAAGAAAATACAAGAAATAAACGTTATTTAACTGAAGCTGCACTTTATTCTCAGCTTGGAGAAATTTACCAACAAACTGGAAAATAAATTACTATAAAAAACTGTTCAGAGCTTGTTTGTGTGAAAGTGTTTAAGAACAATTAATATCTTACCTGCTGTGGATAGCTCTTTTAACAGTTTGAAGAAATAAAGTTTACTCCTGATGAGCTCGTCAAACTAAAGTGTATTTCCACTATTTTAAAGCGACTGATGGGTCTCCGCAGCAGTTTGGTCAAATTTTTTCTATTAATTTTCACCACCATCCAGTTTTTAACCATTTGATTATTCTGGGAGAGAAATTCCTGCGTAACGAGCACCAGAAGTGCTACAGCTATGTGCTGCTGCAGCTTGCACCTGCAAATAAGCACGTGTTAATAACTGCTTATTGCATAAATTACTGAGATTGGAGTATTTATTTTTAAAGGCAGCAATCTATTTTGGTCTTGACAAGTTCAGACTAGCCGTTAGCTCATCAGTCAGGTCAGAGCTAAAGTAGTTTTCTACCACAGCGCCACCAGGAACAGCCAAGATATTAATCGTCTGAAACATTTCCAGGAAACTCCACTGAAAAACGGAGCTAAGCATTTTAAGGGCGAGTTCTCGTTTAATTCATGGAGAGAAGGTGAAAACAAAACCGCACCGCCGTTTAAACCCGAATATGAAACAAGAGGCAACTCCAGTGAGTTTCATCTGGACAACCAGCAGCTGTGAACAAAGAAAACGGCTCAAGACACAAACACACGCTTCAGGTAAAAACGGTCCTCTCTTCTTCTGTCCTTTTTACCTGGCCATGTTAGGACGGCAGTCCTCCGCAGACAGGTCACATGGTCTTCATCAGCTGACCCTGGTCGGCCCGACCGCACCAACTTTCATCTTTCTACGTCTAACAAAGGAACCTGAGGGAGTGAGAGACGCCTGCAGGTTGACTTTAAAACTCGGTCATCCAGCTGACAGCGTGTAACAGCAGATTCCTCTGAGAGCTTTCTGCTCCCAGTGTTTAAATGATGAGACGCACTCGTCTGAGGTTCAGGTTTCAACCCTGGAATGAAGCAGCGTGCGTTTGGAAGAACTAGAAACAACACCACGGCCTCTACAGACACCTGTACATCAACGCTCACTTGCAAACATACATTCATAAAAGTGATAAATATTCATAAAAGTGATAAATAAACCTGATAAAGGACAAATTGACAGAGCAGGCTGGACCTTGTACAGCAACGTCAGCGGTCCACACTGAACAGCACAAGTGCTCCGACAGTCAACTCGTGCCAGAAACGACTCGTCGTCCAACGATCCACGACGAGCCAGGCGTCCGATCTGCACGAGGGTCCGTGTTGGGAACAAAATGAAACATGTCTGCCATCTCCAGGTGGCGGGGCAGAAAACGGCTTCCTCTCCGGCTCACAGGAAGACAAAGTCGTCGCTCGTTCTTCTGCTGCTTCTGCTCTGTTTTCCTGGAGGCAGGATGTGGGCTGCAGGCTCGCCGAGGCTGCTGCTGTGACCCTCAAGTCCGTAGTCCTGACTCCGCCCCTCAACAAAGGTGAAGATGGGGTACTTCTCTCTGCTCGATGACAGAGCCTTGTAGAAACAGAGAAACAAGTGGATAAAAGGTTTAAAATACTTCACAATCAGCTGCTGAGATAATCTGTTGACTGACAGATTAGTTCTAAAATAAGATTCAACCCTAACGGGTACTGCAGCCATTTCAAAGTGATAAACAGCTAACGTTTTACCTGTCGTACGTAACTCTGAACAACATCAGCTTAAAGAAGAGAGTGCAGCTGGACGAGGAGCTTAAGGCTGGCCGAGATCAACGCGACGCTGCCGTCTAAAAGCAACTCGGTCTTCAAACTTTCACAAAGCCTCGGGCGACGCTGTTCCAACTTTACATGGTTTTATAAAGTTCAAGTGAACCGAGACTGGAGGCGTTTAAAGATGGCACCATCTACTTTAACTTCAGCTGCTCTCAGACTGGCCATTAGCTCTGAGGTCATTCAGCCATCTACAACAGGTAAGATATTATTTGTTCAGAGCGTTTCCATTTCGAAAGACTCGATGCAACACGTTCAAATGTTTTGCTTTGTACAAAACTGAAGGTTCATCAGATTAAAATTGTGTTGATTTATTTTAAATCACCTGCCACCTTCCTAAACTCAACTATTAACTCAAATGTTTTCAGAGAATTCAATGAACATGACTTTAACAAACGATATTAAAATAAAAGCTGCAGCTTTCTTCTCATCAGTTGCTTGTAAGCACGAATAAGAAGGTAGAAGCTCACCGTGCTGACGGCAGAACAAAGAGACTCAAAGTCCTTCTTGTTCTTGGCATAAAAGCCGATGGTGCAGCTGGGATCCATGCGGCTGAACGGCATCTTTTTAGGAGCGCTGCAGTGGAACGACTGCAGAGCGATCAGAGTGTCAACAGAGCCAGAGGTGACCAAATCAACAAGACAAGTTGGAGTCAGCTGACCAAACTCCTCCGTGAGAGAAAAATCTGTAGAAACTGAGCAGCCGACAGAACAAACCTCCAGCGAGAAGTTGCTCTGAGAGACGTCAACGACGGGCTGGCAGAGGTGAGGGTCCAGATACAGCAGCTGCTCATCTGATAAAAGCACAAATCACAAGCTACTAAGTGCAGCGCCACAACATTTTAGCTGCTCTTCAGCCTCGTGTGCGCAGCAGAACCTCACCCTGGAAGCCAATGAAGTAGAGCGAGTGCTTCGGTTTCCCTCCAATGATCCCGATGCAACAATCCAGCTTCAGGACGTTCTGCAAACAAAATCACGTGGTCAGTTCGAGGCACGCAGCCCAACCGTTCGCTGATGGGCGGTTGGTGCAGCAGGTGCGGACCTTGACACACTCGATGTAGGACGGGTTGAGCGTCTCCCCTCCGAGCCGAACCGGCACCAGAACGATGACAGATTTCCAGACTTGGCTGGAAGGGTCCCGAGGATTCTGATGGCAGAGACGGACCACGTCTTCTTTGTACACTGCAGGAACAAACAGATGGAAGGGGTCAGAGAAACCATTGACTGAGCAAACAGCCGGCTTCCAATCCTCACCGGTACAATCCTGAGCCACGTAGACCACCAGGTTCTGCACCACAGATGATTTATCCACCGCTTTCCTGCAAAACAAGCCAACTTTAACACTCTGCACCTTCCCACCAGGAAACAAGTTGTTCATGAAAACGGAGGTTTGACATGTGGAGCCCTCACTGAAGTATGTGAGCCACGATGGAGGGGCCGTACCAGTCCCCAGCCTTCTTCCCTGAACCTCTGCCGATGTCCACCAGCTGGTGAACACCGAAGGGTGTCGGAGGTTGATCCCCAAACCAGGTGACGAGCTTGTGGTGGACGAGCTCTGCCTGCCGGTCCCCCACACACTCCGGCCTCTTCCTCAGGCTGCATCTTGGTGCCGGCCGGCTGCTCTGGGACTTCTCTGGGGTCCCGGAGTCACGCGGAGACCCAAAGGAAGGGATGGGGACGCCTCCAGCTCGTACCGGAGAGCGTGGTCGGAAGAGCTCAAAGTCCACGTCAGTTAGCTGCTGAACATCTGGCCAAGTCCAATCTAAAGAGGAGAAAAAGGCTCGAACACATCCCACACATTCCTCAACAACAAAGTCTGTTAAACTCACGTCAGCGATGAACTCCTACACTGCAACAAAACGAAATCTGTTCAATGCTGGATGACAATAAAATGGATATGATTTGTTTATAGTGTCTTCTCTGCGCCCCGAAGACACACCGGATGAGACGATCTTATTTACAGACCTCAATACTTTGGTTCTGTTTGGCAACGACTGGATCAGAAGCTTTGATCAAATGTGTAAACTCATAAAATCACAGTCCTGTAGTAAATTCAGGACAGGGTGTAACGCAAACAGCAATGCACGTGAAACAGTGATGAGTTCAACAACACAAGCTGATCAGGCGGCGGAACAAGACAGGACACGTAGTCATGAAGTCTGGGCTCAGGTCCTGACCCGGTACATCCTCTCTGCTGAGCGCACGAGTGACAAGTAAACGCCTTCGTGGCACAAGTCGTAAGGAAAGAATAAAGACTGAAAATGTGTGAGGGGGGTGAGAGATTCAGTGTCGTCTGTTCTTTTAACGATCGAGTCTTTGCGTGTTCTTTTGGCTACAACAAAACCAACCTGGCCCCCAGATGTTGAAACATCTGTTTGAGCAGGTGTCAGAACTGAGACCAACCTCTGGGCATCAGGTGGACAACCAGCCCCTGTGCCAGCAGCATCTGCCCGCTGCGCAGCATGCAGCCCCAGCCACAGTCTGTGGTCAGCGTGGATCCTTCCAGCTGAGGGAACTCCCTCCTGTAGGTCAGCCAGACCCTGGACACGAAGCTGCGACGGAACCGCTCCACCTCGTCTGAGACACGGTCACACATAAAAAACAACTCTTTCAAGTCCATCTACGAGACACAACACAATGAACAACTAAAATGGAGGCTTTGCAGAGTTTGTGCATTATTTACCTTCACTATTGAGCAGATAAGAGTGGCCCAGGACAGTGACAGGAGATGTTTTGTTAAAAGATGTTTTAGATTTAACAATCCATCCTGCAGTCCGAGGAGCACAAAATAAAAGTATAAAAACACAACAACAACAAAATAAAGGTTAGCAAACAGATTACCCAGACGCTCTGGAGTGACATGTTCATAAAAACGGGCCTGCTCATGCTCAGAGGACTGGTTACCATATTTAACACTGTTCCACGCAGACATCAGCTTAGCTTTAAGCTTGTCTATCTCATCCGGCTCTTCGGCTGCGTCTCGGCTCGTGTCTGGAATCTGAGGCGGCCTGAAGAGCCCAAAGCTGCTCTGTCGTTCCAGCGGCGGCGGCTGCCTCCGGCTCTCCACCTGCTCCTCCTGCATCACAATCCCCACGTACTGAGCTGCACTGGGAGAAACGGAGTTCATGCCTCGGGGCCGACTCCGGTGCTCCTCATCGCATCACGGACCTGAGGAGAGACGAGCAACAAACACGGTAAATATTCAACTGCTCATGAACGTCGAAACACTTTGTGACACAACGAGCAGCACAACAAGCTGGAGTTATAAAACTAATATAAATTATATATATATATATATATAAAAAAATAAAAAATAATAAAATAAATTATTAAAATATACTAATACACAAACGGGTTTCCAAAA